GGCTCCACTCTGTAAAATGTCATAACTCGACTTTTAGACTCAGCTAAGAAGTCATTTGCTTTCATAAAAAATGCCACTGAACATCCTTCTAGGCTCATAACATTGGCATACACCTTTTCCTTGCTAAAAAAACCAAACCCTCTCTCAACTGCAGATGCAAGTTTCCCGAGATGTGCAGCAATGTCTTGCACTTGTTCAGCAACAATTGAAGCATATGACTTCCGTTTTCCTAAAATTCTTCCTTCTGAAAAACTACTTGCCTCCACCGGCCTTGCTTGAAGGTTAGGATTTCCAAAATTCTTAGCCTCATCAATGTCATCAAACACATGCTCAACATTCGGTGTTGCACTAGTGGCAGTTGCAGAAATTGCATCTTGCTTATTTAGCTCCTTGGBTGTAAAGGCACCATTTCYAGTCACTTGATCATTTCCACATACCAATGCCAATTGGTCATAGTTTGGAATGCTTTTTCGTCTAAACTGCTTTGCCTCTGGATGTGCCTGCTCATTTACCATGGGAGTTCCATAATAAGTCACCTTCCGTACTAATAAGTCATCTTTCATATAATTTGTAAACCAAGTGTTTAGAGTAAGTGTTGTTAATCTATTCTACCTCAATATATGTAGCCCAAACATCAGGTGTTGCATCTATTGTCTTGGTTGAATCATTCCACGCAAAGCCACTTTGATTCAAAAGGTTTTTTAATATTGCAAAATTCCGCTTGATTGTTTTYAACCTATTTCGTATGTGTCCTTGAGTACATTCAATTGAAAACTTAGTGCTAATAGCACGCGCCGCTGCAGTGTAAGCCGGTGATTTGAAACTTTTGTCAACCTTGTTTTCAAGGTTGACCTGCTCAGCAAATGTGTCAATGAGTAAATTATCCATGTCCTGTGTCCAACTCATATTTGTTTTTCCATTCTTGTTTTTAGGACGAGAGCTAGAAGAGTCCATTTCTGTTTCATGCCAATCAAATGAATAATGCAAATCAACAATATATATCCATAACACTAATTAATACAAGGTATTTTTGTATAAATAGCAATAGGCAATTAATAAAGTCGAACATCATAATTAGTTAAAGAAGTGAGCGCATATAGAAAAAAAGTTATACAACAAAAGTTATATTAGAAAGAAAGAGTTAGACAACAGGAAGAAATTAATGTCGAGCCCTAGATCGATACAAGACGTAATCAGCCCACATTTGGGTAGCTATTTCTTCTCTGAGACGAATTCCTTCCCTTGATTGTTCATTTTTACTAGCTTGTTGAGATAGTTGGGAGATTTGTGTATTGTCTGCTCTATCATCATTTAAATCATCAATTCCTGCATCATCCTCAGTATCAACTGCTTCTCGATCATACTGACGCATGATGAAATCATACGGATTCACACCCATGACATGGTTGTGTAAGATGTAGCATGCAGACACAATCTTCACCTGTGACTTAAAAGGGTAATGTTGCTGAGATACCAAGATTGGAAAGCGTTTTTTCAATACCCCAAAAATCCGTTCAACGACTTTTCTAAGTGATGAGTGTCAAAGGTTGAACAGTTCTTTTGGGTTCTTAGGTTGATGTGCACCCCATTCCTTTAGATGGTATCGTGTGTTTCGATATGGTGTAATGAACCCAGTCTTTAATGAAAATCCTGCGTCTACAAGATAATATTTACCTATTTAAAATATAAAAAGTTAGAAAACATGTACATACTTACCTATTAAATAAAAATGTCTCTTGTGAGAGTTTATTACTACCTTGAGGGACCTCTAATTTGTGCTCTTTCCTCAGAGCATTGTTAAGCATGTGAGAGTCCGATGCGGCACCCTCCCAACCAGGTAATACATATGTGAACCGCAAATTGAAAGTGCATGCAACAAGGATGTTTTGTGTGGGATGAGATTTACGACCTCGAAACCTAGCAACATCAGTAGAAGGGACTTTCACAGGGAGGTGTGAGCCATCGATTGCCCCAACACAATCTTGCTAGTAGATTTAAGTTTTTTATTATTCATTTTATGGGTGTATATGTCATAAAGAAGACTTTATCACTTAATTACCTTGAAATATGGCMAAAAATCATGYCRGTTTCTAATTTCYGGAGGTGTTTCAGTACCACTTGGTTGAATCAAGTACCTATCCTCCAAGCTCAACAAAGCATTCAATACATTGTTGAAATGATGACTCAGTCTCACCAGACCGACTGAAATGAAAGCCCGCTGTTCTATTCCTAATGTTGTGTGCTAG